CTAAAATATATTTATATTTCAAGTAGTTATATGATTTAAGTTATAAAAACTAATATAATATAACACATATAAGTCATAAGTAACACATATCATTCTAAAATATATAGTAATATATCATTCTAAATTTAATATAATTTTCTCATTAATTTTAAAATTTAAGAATAATTTTTTAACAAGCACCCGTGTAATACACGGGTATCGTACTAGTAATAAAAAGAAAAATGCCTCTTTAATTCATACTGATTGAGGAGAGATTAGCATAAATATGTGTCTCTTTAATACATTTAAATGGAGAGATATTAGGGTTCAATATTGGTACAAATGGTTTGGGGCTTCTTGTTTACAAATATATTTATATTTGATTGGTTTTTTTTTTAATTAATGTTAATTTGAAAAGGCTGGTATGGTTAATTACTAATGGAATTTAAAGTTTGTATTGAAAATAAATTATTAAAATTAATTTGATGTTAGAGTATGAGATAGATGATTGGAAGAGGTATGCATTGAAAATTGAGTTAGATTTTAATTTGAGATATAATTCTTTTGGGTATATTTGCAAACAAACAATCTCTTAATTTTATTTCATCAAACATTGACATATTAGCAAATTGACTAAATATATGGATTTTAGTTGCAAAAATACCACATAACAATAACAAGAAAACAAACAATTGAATTATGCATGATTAAAAGTGAAATCTTATCACATTCCATTAACTTTTCTTCATCTCCTCCATCGTCTCTCTCCATCCTCTCCATCTTCTATCTATGTTCCCCTCTCTCTTCTTCTCTTTCTCTCTTCTTCTTCTACAAGTTTATATGACGAGATTTTTTTTTCTATTCGCGACTCCTCAACAACCCGCTGCTGGAGAGAAATCGAGTGTACTGATGATGCAATCCGCGGCTTTGCCAAGTCTTTATCACCGACGGCTTTTCGAACGCGATGTTGGTGTACGAGCGACGATTTCCGACGATGGGGTAGATTCCCGATGGTGAAATCCATCTCCTTCTCCCTGTCGCACAATTCTCAGCCGACCGAGGCAATGCCACCGAGATACGCCTGTCGCCGTCGAGGAGGGGAAGAACCGACGCCGTCGAGTGAGCTTGCGGATGCAGAGAAGAGGGTCATGGCTACGATTTCGGCTCTTAATCTGGGTTCTGAAATGAGAAACGACTGAACTTCGACAGTATATTTTATGTATATGTGTGTCTCGATCTGTCACTGGCTTGAATTTCGAGAATTTTGAGTGTATATCTTATGTATATTTTATGTATATGTGAGACCTGAAATCGATTTTGAGAAATGATTGAAATTGATTATGAACACACATAGTTGCTCCAGTCAAGAATATATACATATCATAAACTAATAGCATACTCAATACATATATTGATTAATGAACATACACACTTTGCTCTAAAAAAAGTTCCACGACACAAACAAAATGTCATATATACATTACGTATACTGAACATATATAACATACTGTAGTTGATATAATAACACCTTCGAAACTATTTATTGCAAATGAATTATACACATACAATATACTTAACATATACAAATTTGTGACGACCACTGTAAACTTGTAATCCAGCAGATTAGGGGACTTTGGGCGTACTCGAACGATAGATTATGGATTTGTAACGACCACGACAAACTTGTAATCCCACGACAAATTATTTAATTGTGCATTTTTTTTATTCAATTAAAACGGCAAACCTATAATCCCACAGATTAAGGAGATTTTACTTCGATATTTTGGAGTAATCGATATTTTGCCTTATCACAAATAGATTCCATGCATTTGGTAAGTTTGCGAATAAAATATAACTCTTCGTATTGTTTCAATTATTGTTAGATCGACGTGTATATATAAAATTTCCCCAAAAAATCTAATCGGTTACAAAAGGCTAACAGAAGGTATGTATGGAAATGTAAGAACTGTAATTAGATCAAAATAATTGATGAGCCGAATCACATGAAAGTGAAGTGGACATGAAAGAGAAGAAGATACACTTTTATATTTCTGAATTTTCTATCTGCTAATAAAATTCACCAATAATAGAATTGTAGAAAGCTTTTGTTCTTGTAGTTGCGTCAAGAAAACTGACTCATAAGAAATAAAAAATCCATTAAAATAAAATCTAATAACCCAAAATTATTTTCTTTATATAATTACAAAATTAAAAATATCAATGTGAATGCAATGTTTTGTTTCTTTATATCTCACATGATCATGAATTATTGATTTTTTTTTCTTTTGATAGTACACTACAAAATAAATGTTATATTCCAACGGAAAATCCTATGGTAATATATTCCAATAGAAATTCCAACGGATATTCTAATGGAATAGCTTCCGTTGGAATAGTTCCAACAGAAATTCCAACGGAAATATTCCGTTGGAATGTGTTTTTCATTGGAATTTTAGATGGAATTTGATGATTCCAACGGCTATAATTCCAACGGCTTTTTACCGTAGGAATATGCAAATTCCGTTGGAATTTTTTTTTCCACCCCACTTTGAAAATCCACAGTTGGAATCGTCAAAATCCAACGAAAATTCCAATAGAAAACTCATTCCAATGGAATATTTTCGTTGGAATTTCCGTTGGAATCCATTGAAAAATTCCAACGGAAATAATAGTATTGAAATATCCATTGGAATTACCGTTGGAATAATTATTTGAAATATATTTCCGTTGGAATTTCATCATTTTTTTTGTAGTGGTAATTGAATAATAAATTAATATATATCCTTTGAAAAGAGAAATTCAGCACGTGAGAAAGAAAATCACACTTGAAATGTGAAAAAAATGGTACACTTGTAAAGAGAAATATCTTTTTTTTCTTTTTAAACAAAAAAATACTATTTACCTATTCCACCAATCCAATTTATAACTAAAAAATAAAAAATAATTATTGCTATATATTATACAACGAAAAAATACTGCTAATTCATTTATAGGTTCTTGCCTACTAATTCTATCAATCAATGTTTGATAATCATTATTATTATTATTGTTGTTGATCATTATAATATTATCTCGTATTTAATCACAATTTCAAATTTATTTCATTTTAAAAAATAATAATTTTATTCATCTCAACATTAGACAAATTTTTCTTTAAAAATTAAATTAAAAATTATATGCAATGAATTTGACGTTTCAACAAAACTTTCTTGTAAGCAAAATCTTACACCTAACACAAAAAACGCCCGTATTCATATATAGTTATATACACACACGCATGCTCATACACTGATCATTTCACCTCTCATATCTCATAACTCAAACCCATCACCTACCATGACCGACCCGAACCCACACCTCCCGGCCCAAAAAATCCCCGGTGACTACGGGCCCCCGTTTTTTGGGCCCATCCGCGACCGCTTCCGCTACTTCTACACCGAGGGCGAGGCCCACTTCTTCCGGGCCCGAATGGAAAAATACAACTCCACCGTATTCCGCTCCAACATGCCGCCAGGACCATTCATGGCCCGCGACCCACGTGTCATATGCCTCCTCGACGCCCTCAGCTTCCGGGCCCTCTTCGACAACTCCCGAGTCGAAAAACGCGACGTGCTCGACGGCACATTCGTCCCCTCGACTTCCTTCACGGGCCGGGCCCGGGCCTGCGCCTACCTCGACCCGTCCGAGCCCAAACACGCCCTCCTCAAGGGCTTCTTCCTCGACCTCGTCGCGAAAAAGCACGACAAAATCGTCCCGTTGTTCCGCCAGTCGGTCGTCGGGCTTTTTT